CCCCTACCCAAAGTCACCAGCCCCATCTTCCCCTACCCAGTCACCAGCCCCATCTTCCCCTACCCAAAGTCACCAGCCCCATCTTCCCCTACCCAGTCACCTGCCCCATCTTCCCCTACCCAAAGTCACCAGCCCCATCTTCCCCTACCCAGTCACCAGCCCCATCTTCCCCTACCCAAAGTCACCAGCCCATCTTCCCCTACCCAAAGCCACCAGCTCCATCTTCCCATACCCAAAGTCAAAGACACGCACCTTCTAGCACAGTGTGATCCACAGAAAATATTCAACCCAAATACCAAGAATTAGATACACCTAGTACTATTCCCTTAGGCATCTTTTATGGCATCTTCTTGCAGTTATTCCAACCCACAGCCTACCCACAAGACAAAGAGGCAGGACTAGGCCCCTGTTGATTATTTCAGGACTGTGTAGCTGCTGCTATGCTGACTGAAGATTCTAGGGGAGCTCAGGTACATTCTGATAGAGAATATGTATGTATGTGGGCAGGGAGAGAGTAACCAGCAGAGGGCAGAATACATCATATGTCGGTGAGTCTCTTCAAGATCAAACATCACTTCCAAGGTAGATCCAGCCTGAGATGACATTTACTAGTACTTTCCCAATCAAAGTGGCAGGGTAAAAAATCTATACATTTTAGATTTTCTCATGTCTCATAATTTTTAACTGGAAAGCTGGCAGGGGGAAATTACTGGTAATCCTAAGGAGAAACAAGCAACTCCTAGAGTGTGTTTGTACTACAAAGATAGATATGTGACTGATAAACAAACTGGGTCGCCAGTAGGTCTTGGCAAATGCAAAATGTATCAAAGCTGAAAAGGGTCTAGATGTCCCTGAAGTTTCAGAGTAGTAATTAGCACAAGTGTCCCTTTCTCCACCGGGGATACTGCCTGGGACCTATCTGTCCTCATTATTTTTCCCCCCAATAATTTTATTTTCGAATATACACAGCATTCAAATTTTTACATGTGCAATTCAGTGACACATATTACCCTCTTCAAGTTACACAATCACTCTGACCCTCCTTTACTAAATTGCTCCCCATTAACATAAACTCACTGCCCCCTAATGCTCCTGTCTAATCCTTAGGAGAGTTGCTGTTAATCCACTTGATTCTATATAGATAATTCTTAAAATAGCACAATGCTCAAATCCTCAATTCTAAGGAGCACCCTGGCTATACTCCCTCCAAGACAGATCTGTTCATTCCTTTGGCTGGCTGACTGTAGTATATTCAATATTCTTTGCCAGCACCATAATTCCTTTTTTAACTTTTTATTGTGATTTGAGAGTTTACAGAGAAAACTGATTTACATTCAACAATTTGAAAACATTTTGCTTTGTGATATTGATTACAATCCCCACAATATAAGCACTTTTCCTACTTTCTCCCTGTGTTTCCATCCCTCCTTTCCTGCATTCTGATTTTGTATGGTTAATTGTTCTAAGCATGGCATAACTGCCTCGTGTTCTTGCCTACTGCTTGGGTGAAAGCTAAGCCAATGGGATATGTTCAGTTCAGGCTTGAAGGGTGTCTAAGGGCCACAGTCATTGGGTTTTACCAGTCTCTATCATACTAGTAAGCCCCCCCTCTTTTTTTTTTTTTTATTTGCATTTTGTTCCACCACATTTCACTCCCATTCTATCTAGGACCTCTTATTGTGAACCCTTTGAGAGCAGTTAATAGAGGTACTCAGGTACCACTTAGTTCTTTTGTTCTCAAGGACACTTTGACTTACTGAGATTAACCTTTGGACTAATTATTTCCTTGCATCTTTGATTTTGTTTTCCCCCCACTCTGTTCCACAGATGGCCCCTAGGCTTCTCTACTCTCTTTCCACAGATGTGTCAACTTGATTCCTATGTATTCCATATGGTGAGGTCCACATGCAGTCGCCATTCATACTGTTAAAATGGTATCTGCATCTTCTGTTGTCTTAAAGACACTGTGGTATCGTTGTATTTGTATTTAACTGATAAATGTCTGTTGGTATGTTCTTGGGTTCTCACCAACTCTTCCAATCACTAGAGATTGGAAGTGTATGTATCATTTTCTGTTCACCGTTTATGCAGCTCAGTCAGGGTAGGGCTGGCCTATCATCAATTAGATAGTACAGGAGATGGTATTCGCTCTTGTCCAAAGGGTGGAGCTACAGAGGGTTTGGCTGTGGCTAGAATGTATGGGTATGGTTGCTATTTCAAGTCTAGTGGGGCAAGAGGAGAAACAGGAAAACAAAACAGAACAAGCAAACAACAGTGAAAACAATGTAAGAAAGAAAAGAGATATAGGAAAACAGAGCTGTATAAAAAATATAAAGGAGAAAAAAATTTTAAATACAGGGTAGATGAAAAGAGAAAGAGACTAGAGAAAAGTAAAGAAAAAGCAAAAAAAGGAGAGGGTGGAAATAAGAAACGAGAAAAAAAACAAAAGCAGAGATAAAGTAGTTCAAACCAACCTTGCAGTCCAGTGCATTATCCTATAAGCTTGCTTATATATTTGTCCTTTTGTCACTGACTTATTTCACTCAGCATAATACCTTTAAGCTCCATCCATATAGCACACACCAAGACTTTATCTCTCCTACGACTGAGGAGTATTCCAATTTATGTATGTGTCACATTATTTCTTCATTTATTTGTTGGTGGGCATTATAGGTGTTTTCCACCTTTTGGCTCTTGTGAATAATGATGCAGTGAGCATTGGTGTACAATTATCTACTTTGAGTCTCTGCTTTCAGGTCTTTCAGTTATATAGGAAAGTCACTGTCAGGTCATATAATAGTTCCATTTTTAGTTTTTTAAGGAACTGCTATATTGTATTCCACAACAGGTATACCATTTTGCATTCCCACCAGCAATGGGTTTCCAATTTCCCCACATCTTTACCAACCTTTGTTATTTTCTGGTGTATTTTAATTTTTTTATATTATCCATTTTTTTAAAGAATACTGATCAATGAGGGTAATGCACAATAGAATTTCAAATTTTCATGGACTCCAGGCTTTCTCTAGCCATGGAGGGTGATGAGCCCCTAAAACTTGCCTTGAGATTATCTTTAAACCATAAACCAAAAATAAACTTAAGATTAACAGTAGTTTAATCTCTCAAACTAAGTAGTTTAGTTTAATTGAAAAAAAAAAAAGTCTGCCTTGAGCATTATGCTTTTTAAAGAACTGTCTATATGTGATCCAATTGACAACAGCAACTTTTAAGATTAAACAGGAACCTTAAGAGGCAGAGAGTTATGTTCATGGGGAGAAACAACTCAGAAAGGACATTGAGAAGGGTTGATAACTTACAAAATGTAATCAGTGTTACTGAATTGTACATATAGAAGTGGTTGAACTAGTGTATATTGTGTTCTATATATTCTCAACACAAAATAATCATTTATAATCTTAAAAAAACCCAAGGTATTTGCAATGAATATGTTGTTGGCCTTACAAATTTTATCATGTGATCTCTGGTGGTGTTTCAGTAAGGCCACATTTTCCCACCATTGGTCCTTTTTTGTTTCCAACATTTGCATTCTACTTATTACCAGAAATTATCAATGCATCTTGATTGCATGTTTGTTCAATTTCAGATTGCAGAGTGACAAAAATCTTTGATTTCTTTGGCCTTAGTAGTTGGTGGGAAAGCTTGAGTAATAGTTCTATTAACTGGCCTGCCCTGTTGTAGTTGTTAAGTGTCATTGGTAAATTCCAACTCATAGTGACCCTGTATAGGGTTTCTGCAGTTGTTCAAATTCAGTAGAATTTGAACAAATTCTACTGAATTTGAACTACCAGCCATGCGGTTCAAACTTACCTTGCAGTCCAGTGTGTTAACCTGCAGTGCCACACCAGGACTCCTGTCTACCCTGTAAACATACGTATATTATCCTTCATCACTAACTAGATCTTGAAATGCTCTTTTTATTGATGAATATGATGCCATTCCTCTTCAATTTGTCACTCACAGCATAATATGAGTGTTCAATTCAAAATGGCCTATACCACAGCCTATTTCAGTTCACTAATGCCTAGGCTATTAATCTTTATATGCTTCATTTAATTTTTGATGACTTTCAAGATACATACTATTCCTAGATATATACTTCATACATTTCACGTTCTCTGATGATACAGATTAATGGATGTTTATAGCTGCTTCTTATCTTTTGAGTCATGCCACATCAACAAATGAAGGTCCTGAAAGCTTTACTCCGTTCACGTCATTAAGGTCAATTCTGCACATAGGAGGCAGCTCTTTCCCAATCATACTTTGAGTGTCTTCCAATCTGAGGGGTTCATCTTATGACATTATTGTATTTTTACACATCACAATCCCCAAACTCAGCAATAATCTATCTCACTGGCCTCTGAGTTTCCAGAGCAATCTGTGACTCTCTAAATACAGTGTGTATGTGCTGGCCCTAGTCTCTTATTAAATTATAAACTTTCAAGAGGTAGGTCTTATATCTTACTTCTATCATACATGGCATTGAGTATTCTGGTAGACTGTGGACTTTTATTGTTCCTAAAGTTAGCTACTGGCATATTCCCTCTTTACCATCTGCAATGTATTTTTAGCCTTAAAGCTACAGCCATCTCATACACACAAACACCTTAACATCACAGAAGAAAGCAGACAATATATCAAAAAGATAGGTACATCTCTACTACAGAACACTGAGAGATGGATGTGGACACTTCCCAAAATGTAACTGCACTGGAAGCAGTCCTGACGGGTGACTGGGCCCTCCACATAATTCACTTGCCTCTCCTGACTACTCTACTTTCTCTAGCCTTGCTCCAGTCTTCCAAAAGTTTCTACATGATGTGAACCTGGCTTCCCCTTCCTCATCCCGAGCTAGAGTCTTTGAATGATTAAAGAGTCAAAAAATGCAGGGAGAGGGAGCAAAATTGGCCTGGAGACAGAGATCTATGCACTCCAAACCCATTATCATCAAGTCTGACTCATAACCTTATAAGACAGAACTGCTCCTTAAGAGTTTCCGAGACTGCAAATCTTTACAGGAGCAGACAGCTCCATCCAGAGTACCCATTCATCTTTCTTCTGAGGAACAACTGGTGGGTTTGAACCACCAACCTTGACGGTAGCAGTCTAATGCTTAGCTCATAGCACCACCAGGGCTCCTCAAGGCAAAAATCAGGTATGCATAAATCTGTTTGATATTTACAAGAGTCTTGGTACTTTAGAATCCTTTGGCAAGCAGCCACTAAAGCACATCTCGCTCCTATTTCACCAGGGCCTTACCTCCACAGAGATGCCCCGAGCGCTGGGTCCCATTGTGACTGTGCCCACCTTCACTAGGAAGTCACAGTACTGGTAACGGGTGCCCCGGGTTTCAATCTTGCTGGCTTTAGCACTCTGGAAAAAACCCTTCAGCTTCACCATGAGCACATCAAAGTTGGTGTCGGCAATAAGGCAAGGCCCATTCTCAAAGAGGGCAAAGCAGCTCAAAGGATACTCAGAGTTGTGCATCACATACATCAGCTTCCCAGCCTGACCTGTAAGGAACAGAAATACCACTCATCACCACCTGCTTCACCAGCAAACTCCAGAAAAGAGTCAAAGGCATGGAACAAGGCCAGATGGCAATCTAGCATTACTTTAGCAGTGTTGGTGGAGGGATCCCCACACTGAACACTTTTCCACAGGAAGGAAGAGGAACAGCAGGTGAGGCAGCATGTGGTAAAACCCAGACGATTCTATAGACAAAAGGCATAGAGGGAACGTCAACAGTTAATTGGTCTAGTTCTGAAATTGAGTGGTAAGCTCACAGATGGATACTTAATTATGATGACTAATAACTCATACAGTTTGCCTATTTCCTATTATGTATATCATATACTACACCATGAGTAGAACCCTGGTGTGGCACTGCAGAATAAGCACTGGACTGATTACCTCAAGGTCGGCAGTGTAAACCCACCAGCCACTCTCAGAAACCCTACACAGGGCTGCTATGAGTCAGAACCAAATAGGCGGCACACAATCAGTAAAATGGAGTAAAAGAAACAGCATTTGGACATGTTAAATGAGACATTCACTCCGTCTCCTTCTGTCCAGCCCTACCTACTTTGACTTCCTCCCTCACATCCTCATATATACACACACACACACACACACACATCAACAACAAACAACAATCATGCCTCAAGAACCCTGGACTTCATCTTGAAGACAACAGTGAACCCCTGGGTTATTTTTAAGAAGTCTAAGAGAATTTTGCTGTTAATGTACTGCTGCAACTCTTTTTGAATTCAACAAAAATTTACTTGCATGTGATAATAATGATATTGTTCAATAATTTTCACAACTCATTGGATCACCTTTATTTGGAATGGGCACAAATATGAATCTCTTCCAACCAGTTAGCCAGGTGGTGATCTTCCTAATTTCTTAGAATAGACAAGTAAGCACCTCCAGCAGTACGTCAGTTTGCTAAAACATTTTCATTGGTATTCAGTCAATTCCTGGAGCCTGGTTTTTTGCCAATACCTCAGTGCTGCTTGGACTTCTTCCTTCAATATCACTGGTTCTTGATCATATGCTACCTCTTGAAATGACTGAACACTGACCAATTCTTTTTGGTACGGTGACTGTTTACTCCTTCCGTTTTTTCTTAATGTTCCCTACATAGTTCAGTATTTTGCCCATGTTGTTGCTGTTACTGTTGTTACAGCAGAACCAAAAATCAAATCTACTTCCAAAATGAATTTTGACTCAGCAATCCTAAATGCCATCAAGCTGGTTCTGATCATACCGACCTTATATAGGAATAGGGATACAATATAGGGGTATCCTTCAAGATTGCAACCTGAGGCTTGAATATTTAATTGAGTTCTTTCTTCAGCTTGAGAATTGTTGCATGTGTACTTCTCTTTTGGTCTTCTAACTTAAGGTCTTTGCACATTTCAATATAATAATTTAACTTTACTTTCTCAAGCTACCCTTTGAAATTTTCTGTTCAGTTCTTTTACTTTATTTCTTCTTGTCATCTTAGCTTTTCTACATTCAAGAACAACTGTAAGTCTCTTCTGACTTGCATTTTGGTCTCTTCTTTTTAATGACCCTTTGCTTTCTTCATGTTTTATGTTCTTGATGTCATCCCACAACTCCTCTGGTCTCAAGTCATTATTGTCTAATGCATCAAATCTGTTCTTGAGATGGTTTCTAAATTCAAATGGAATATACTCAAGATCATATTTTGGCTCTCATGGAGTTGTTTTAATTTTCTTCAACTTCAGCCTGAACTTGCATATGAGCAACTAATGGTCTGGTCCACAGTTGACCCTGGCCTTGTTTTGGCTGATGATATTGAGTTTCTTCTTTGTTTCTTACCACAGATGTAGTCAATGTGCTTCCTGTGTATTCCACCTGGTGAGGTTCATATGTATAGTAGCCATTTATTTTGTTGAAAAAAGGTATTTGCAATGAATAAGTCATTGTCATTGTTGTCAGGTGCCAACAAGTCAGTACCGACTCATAGCAACCCTATGCACAACAGAATGAAACACTGCCTGGTCCTGGGCCAACCTCACAATTTTTGCCATGCTTGAGCCCATTGATGCTGACACTTTGCCAATCCATCTCACTGGGGGGTCTTGGGGGGGGACTGGGGGGTCTTCCTCTTTTTCTCTGATCCTCCATCTTACCAAACATGATATGCTTCTCCAGAGACTGGTCCCTCTTGACAATATGTCCAAAGTATGAGAGACGAAGTATGGCCATCCTGGCCTCCAAGGAGCACTCTGCTGCACTTCTTCCAACACAGATCTATTTGTTCTTTTGGAAGCCCATGGCATTTTCAGTAGTCTCCTCCACCATAACTCAAATGCATCAATTCTTCTACTGTCTTCCTTATTCACTGTCCAGCTTAAGCATGCATATGAGGTTACTGAAAATACCATTACTTGGGTCAGGTGCACCTTAGTTCTCAAGCTGACATCTTTGCTCTTCAACACTTTAAAAAGGTCTTGTGCAGCAGATTTGCCTAATGCAATACATCATTTGATTTCTTGACTGCTGCTTCCGTGAGTGTTAATAGTTGATCCAAGAAGAATGAATTCCTTGACAACGTCAATCTTTTTTCCGTTGCTAAGAATGTTGTTTATTGGTCCAGTGGTGAGGATTTTTGTTTTCTTTACATTGAGATGCAATCCATACCGAAGGCTGTGGTCTTTTATCTTCATGAGTAAGTATTTAAAGTCCTCTTCACTTTCAGCAAGCAAGGATGTATCATTTGCATACCGCAGGTTGTTAGTGAGTCTTCCTCCAATCCTGATGCCACGTTTTTCTTCATAGAACCCAGCTTCTCGGATTATCATTTTGTCTCTTGCATTGTTTCTATCACCAAAGACATATTTTTCAATTATTTTCAGACTACAGATCCTTCGTTTTCAACTTTCTGCCAGTAAACAGCAGAACCAAAAATTAAACCTACAACCAAAACTAATTTTAACTCAGCAACCCTATAAAACAGGGTAGAACTGCCCCAGAGGGTTTCCAAGGCTATAAATCTTTAGGAAAGCAAACTATCACATCTTTCTCTCTCGAATCAGCTGGTGGGTTCAAATCCGTCAACCTGTGACTAGCAGTCAAATGCTTTAACCACTGCACCAACAGGGCACCTTATACAGAATTGGAACTCAATCCCAGGCATTCGAACCCCAAATTTACTGCTTTTTCCAATCCACTTCACTAGCTACCACAATGTGTTCTGGCTCACCAATTAGATTGTTATTACTGTTGTTGATAAGTGCCAGTGAGTCAATTCCCACTCAGTAACAACCCTGTATAGGGTTTCTGAGGAGCAGCTGATAGGTTTGAACCACCAAACTTGTGGTAAGCAGTCCAGTGTCATCCTACAGTGCCACACCAGAACTCCTAAGCTTCTTGAGAGTAAGGGTCCAGTTAGGAAAACAGCTGATACCAGGAAGTTGTACTTGAAGTAGTATCCCAACTTATTTACTCAGGTAATCAAATGTTTTATTTTCCACATGTTTTCAATACTTATTACTTCTTTTGATGTGTATGCCCTCCCTATTGAAGGCAAGGAGTCCTGGTGTGGAAGCATAGGAGAAGCACTGGACTGCTAATCACAAGGCTGGCAATTCAAATCTACCAGCCACTTCTCAAAAACCCTACACAGCATCATTATGAGTCAAAACTGACTTGACAGCACTTAACAACTGAAGGCAAAACAAACTGTATTCTACCAACAAAGCAACTCTGCTTTGTTATTCATTAAAATAAGTTAATGAATCCAAAACAGAACTAAAGTTACCCATGTAATAAACATTTATTACATGGTTAGCTTCAAGAAGCTCTGGTGGCATAGTGGTTGCAAGTCAGGCTGCTAACTCAAGGTCAGCAGTTAGAAACTATTAGCTGTTCCTCAGGAGAAAGATGAGACTTTTTGCTCCCATAAAGATTTACAACCTCAGAAACCCTGTACAGGGTCACTGAGTCGGAATCGACTCCACAGCACACCACCACCACATGGTAAACTTTAATTCTATTTTGGATTTGTTAATTTATTTAAATTATCACAACAAAACTAGGAGATACATACTATTATTATCTTCATTTTACAGATGAGAGGTCTGTATTGGAAAGGGTCTAAAACCAGATCCCTTCTAGAGTTTCAATAAAGAGAATTTAATAAAGGAAACAAAATAGCGAAGAACTGAAAAACAGGTGGGACAGTGAGGCAACCTAGATTAGCAGAAGAGAAACCTACCATCATTGCCCATCACTGTCTGTCAGTCTGCTGCACTGTGGTGATTTCTGTGTTGCTGTGATATTGGAAGCTATGCCACCAGCATTTTAAATACCAACAGGGTACACCAAGAGTACTGGTGTAACACTGCAGGACAATACACTGGTTCTCAAGGTCTGTGTGAACCGCAAGGTCCGCGGATCAAACTCACCAGCTGTTCCTAGGAAACTCTATACTGAGCCGCTATGAGTTGGAACTGACTCGACAGCATGTAACAACAACAAGGGTACACTCAAGGGGGGCAGGTTTCAGCTCCAGGCTAAGACAGGCTAGGAAGAAGGAGAAACAAACTGCTCCTGAATGTTCAGCCACGGAAAACCTTATGAGTATCAGTGGAACACTGTCCACCATCAGAATATTAAATATTTAACCGTGATGAAGAGCACAGAATACTGTCACATAATAGTGCCAGAAGATGAGACCCTCAGGTTGGAATGTACTCAAAAATGTATCTGAAGAAGAGCTACCTCCTCAAAGTAGGGTTGACTATAATGACACAAGTGAGGCAAAGCTTTAGGGACCTTCATTAACTGATGGGGCACAACTCAAAATGAGGACAAACAGCTACAAATATCCATTAATAATCAAACATGGAATATAGGAAGAATGAATCTAAGAAAATTGAAAGCTGTCAAAAATGAAATGGAACACATGAAGATTGATATTAGTGAGCTGAAATGGACTGGTACTGGCCATTTTGAATCTGATAATTATATGGTTTACTATACTGGGAATGACAAATTGAAAAGGAATGGCATTGTCTTCAATTTCAAAAAGTACATTTCAAGATCTATCCTGAAGTATAATGTTGTCTATGATAGCATAACACCCATACACCTACAAGGAAGACCATTTAAAACCATAATACTCAAATTTCCTCACCAAGCACTAAAGTCAGTGATGATGAAATAGAATTCTACCAACTTCTTTAGTCTGAGATTGATTACACATGCAATCAAGATATACTGACAATTACTGGTGATTGGAATGTAAAAGTTGGAAACAAAGAGGAAGGATTAGTCATTGGAAAATATGGCCTCAGTGACAGAAATGATGCTGGAGATCACATGATAGAATTTTGCCAAGACCCAATGACTTTTCTTCATTGCAAACACCTTTTTAAAACAACATTAAAAATGACTATATACATGGACCACATCAGATGACATACACAAAAATCAAATTGACTACATCTATGGGACGAAATGGTGGGAAAACTCCATCTCATCTGCCAAAACAATGCCAGGGGCAGACTGTAGAACAGACCATCAATTGCTCATATGCAAGTTGAGGCGAAACTGATAACAATAAAAACAAGTCCACTAAAGCCAAAATTTGACCTTAAACATATCCCTCCTGATTTAGAACATCTCAACAACAGATTTGATTGATGCATTAGACACTAATGACCAAAAACCAGAAGAGTGTGGGATGACATCAAGAGTTGTGGGAAGACATCATACAGGAAGAAAACAAAGTCATTAAGAAAACAAGAAAGAAGGAAAAGACCAAAATGGATATAAGAAGAGAGTCTGAAACTTGCTCTCCAGTATAGAGTTGTTGTTGTTTTAAAAAAAAGAGCTAAAGTGAATAGAGAGAAATACTGTTAACTGACGGTACATGGAGGAGAATGTAATCATTGTGATGAAATAAGTTGTATGATTTGTTGAATGTAAAACTGATGATCTGCCCTGTAAAATCCACAACAAAAACTTAAAGAAAAAAATTAAAATAAATTAAAAAAAAAAAAAAAAAGAGCCAATGGAACATGTCCAAGGTGCACTGGAGACATTTGCAAAGAACAAGGCTCTGAGAATTTGGAATACAAATTGAATTAATTTCAACAAACTGATGCAGCACTGGAGGCACTCACTCATTTAGGCCAAGAAATATGGAAGACACTTACCTGGCCAGTTCACTGGAAGAGATTCATATTTGTACCCATTCCAGAGATGACCCAATGGAATACAGAAATCATCAGACAATATCATTAATATCACATGCAAGTAAAATATTGTAAGACTTGAACCAGAGGTTGAAGCTGGATTCAGACAAGGACGTGAAACAAGGGATCACTGGTGACGTCAGATGGATCTTGGCTGAAAGGAGAGAATACCAGAAAGATGTTTACCTGTGCTATAATGACACAAAAAGGCTTTTTGACTATTTGGATCATGACAAGTTATGGACAACATTGCAAAGAATGAGTATTCTGGAACACTTAGTTGTGGTCTTGAGGAACATGTACATAGATCAAACAGAACAGGGGATACTGAATGGTTGAAAATTAGAAAGGTGTGTGCCAGGGTTGTACTCTTTTACCATACATATTCAATCTGTATGCTGAGCAAATAATCCGAGAAGCTGGATTATATGAAGAATGTGGCATCAGGATTCAAGATTAACAACCTGCGATATGCATATGATTCAATCTTACTTGCTGAAACAAAGAGGACTTAAAATACTTACTGATAAAGATCAAAGACCACAGCCTTCAGTATAGGTTGCACCTGAATGTAAAGAAAACAAAAATCCTCACCACTGGAACAATAAATAACATCATGATAAATGGAGAAAAGACTGAAGTTGTCAAAAACTTCATTTAGCTTGGATCCACTATCAACACTCATGGAAACAGCAGTCAAGAAATTAAATCACATATTTCATTAGGCAAATCTGCTTCACATGACATCTTTCAAGTGTTGAAAAGCAAAGATGCCAGTTTGAGGACTAGGGTATGCCTCACCCAAGCTATGGCATTTTCAATAGCTTCATATGCATGTGAAAGTTGGACAGTGAATAAGGGAGACAGTAGAAGAATTGATGCCATTGAATTATGGTGTTTGAGAAGAATATTAAAACTACCATGGACTGCCAGAAGAACAAACAAATTTGTGTTAAAAGAAGTACAGCCAAAATGCTCCTTAGAAGCCAAGATAATGAGACTTCATCTCTCATATTTCAAACATATTATCAGGAGGGACTAGTCTCTGGAGAAGGGCATCATGTTTTGTAAAGTGGATGGTCAGCAAAAGAGGAAGACCCCCAACATGATGGATTAAGCATAGTGACCGCAGCAATGGGCTCAAGCTTATCAACGATTGTGAGGCTGGTGCAGGACCAGGTAGTGTTTTGTTCTGTTATATATAAGGTCACTATGAGTCGGAACCGACTTGATGGTACCTAACAACAACCATTCCTAGACTAAAGAGAAAAGAGATCGGGTCTGGTAAAAGGAGATGGGGATAAGATTCTTACGATTCAATAGTGAGTAATAGTTATCATGACTAACTGTGACTGTCACAATTGTAAAGGTACAAGTTTTCTAACAAAAACGGGGGAATAGTTAATCTTACAGTCCAGAAACAGAAGACCCTAGAACCATCAAGGGAGAAGGGCACAAGGGGAATATGAGACCTTATCCAGAGAAGCAGCGACACCAGAGATGGAAGAAGAGATGGGGACATGGAGAGGGAGCAGCTGAGGACTCTAGACACAAGGAAAGAAAGGGACTGAGAGCCGGCGGCCAGAATGTGCCCTTTGGTGGTTTAAATTATTATATATGCCTGAGTGTTTTTAGGGGGAAAAAAAAAAAAAGAGAGCTAAAATGAATATAGAGAAATACTGTTGATTGGTAGTACATGGTAGGGATTATAATCATTGTAATGAAACAAAGTATATGGTTTGTTGAATGTTAAACTGATGATCTGCCCTGTAAACTTTCACTCAATTCACAATAAAAACTTTACACTAAAAAATGGGAAAAGAGACATGCTAGTATCAGAGTCAGAACCACAGAAGTAACTCACAGCTATGGCCCAAGACAATTCCTGAGGCGAGGGAGAAATATACTGTAATGTCCCATTCTCCCATCCTGCAATCATACCGCAGCTATCTCTTACTGGCCAAAAGGCTTGGAAAATATAATTTGGAAATACAGAGCATAGATCTAAATGTTGTTGTTGTTGTTAGGTGCCATCGAGTTGGTACTAACTCATAGAGACCTTATGCACAGCTGAACAAAATACTGCCCCATCCTGGGCCTACCTCACTATTGTTGACACACTTGAGTCCACTGATGCTGCCACTTTGCCAAGCCATCTTGCTGGGGGTCTTCCTCTTTTTCTCTGACCCTCCACCCTACCAAACATGATATCCTTCTCCAGCCACTGGTCCCTCTGACAATAGATCTAAATGGTAACAGGCAAATAACTCAGTCAGAGATGAGTTACCTAATGTTGGACATTTAATAGGTGGCATTAGAATTGGGCTGCTAATCTCACGGTCAGCTGTTCGAAACTACCAGCTGTTCTGCAGGAGAAATATGAGGCTTTCTGCTCCTGTAAAGATTTACAGCCTAAGAAAGCTGGTACAGGGTCCCTATGAGTGGGATCCGACTCCACAGCACATAACAACAACATACCCAGGATTCAGAAGTCTGTCTGTACATCCCCTGCTCTGAATCTTAGTGCTGTGCTACTGTCTAAGGTCATATGGCAAGTTAGAGCAGAACTAAAACCAAAAGAAGCCAGGTTCCTGAACTCATATTCAAAGATACTCTTTCCCTCCCTCCCATTTACATCCCCATCTCATCAGGCAATACATTTAAAACAAAAGTAACCCAGCGCCCCCCTCCCCCCACACTGTCACTTAGTTTATTCTAACTCATGGAGACCTGATAGCACAAAGTAGAAGTACTCCTTATGATGTCCAAGACTACAAATCTTTATGGGAGCAGCCAGCCTCATCTTTCTCCTCCTGAACAATTGGTGAGTTTGAACTGCCAAATTTTGGTTAGTAGTCCAACACTTATAAAGATGTGGCCAAGGCCATGGGCTAGATGTTATGCACAAAGACTTCTTAACCTAAAAGGAGTCTATCTCAAGTGCAGATGGGGCCATCTGGGAAGCTTGTTAAAATGTAGATTCTGAGCCCTGCAATACCAGTCAGTCAACAGAATCAAGAATCTGCACCTTTAAAACAAGTAACCCAGGAGGTTCTGATGCAATTATCAGTCGTTTGAGAAACAGGGCCTTCAAAGAGCTCAATCTAAGAGAAGAAAAGACCAAGAATTGAATTATTGTTCAGGAATACCATTTTGAGAAGAGCAGAATGATTCCAAAGAACATAAATATCTGTCAAGTCAGGTTTCAACCATCTTAAAGACCCATCTCACTGACCTTGGCTGCCAAGGGTGGAGGCAGCTGTGTGGTAAGTCTCACAGTCCACACAAAATGTTCCTTGCTTCTCGGCCCCAAGCATCTCTAGTTTCTGGGTGAGAAGCTCCACAGTCTGCTGGACACTCTTGCCCTCAGCCACAGACATCTGGGACACACTAGAAGGGAGAGAATCAAAATTTAAGTCTCCAGAAGCTTACAGACACTCACTGACCACTCATTCACTCACACATTGAATCCCAGCTTACCAGGGCCAGGAGTTATTTTGGAGACCACCTTCCCTGGCTCTAGCGCCCAGATCTCAGGGTTCTCACACTCGTGTAGTATCTCCTAAGCACATTCAAGAGATTTTCAGTGGCACACAGATTTAGCATTCCAGAACCCTGAGTCATATCATAAGAAAGAGATTCCCGTTACAAGTCTTTCAGTTGTGACTACTTCAAAGAAAAAGTCTGTTGGAGCTCTGGTAGCGTAGTGGTTACGAAACGGGCTGCGAACCTTAAGGTCAGCAGTTCGAAACTACCAGCCGCTCCGCGGGAGAAAGATGAGGCTTTCTACTCCCGTAAAGATTTACACCCTTGGAAACCCTGTACAGGGTCGCTATGGGTCGGAATCGACTCGACGGCACTTCACAATCACAATCAATCACCAACTAGCACTCTTAACTCGGGCATTAAGTACAGAAACCACTAGCTACATATGCCAGCTCTGGTAAGGAGCTCTGGTAGCGTAGTGGTTACGAATCAAGCTGCAAACCACAAGGTGAGCAGTTCGAAACTACTAGCACTACCTGTTCCATGGGAGAAGATGAAGCTTTTTGCTTCTGTAAAGATTTACAGCCTTGGAAACCCTGTACAGGGTCACCATGAGTTGGAACCGACTCCCCGGCATATCACCACCACATAGCCACATGTAACTGGGGGCTAGTGTATTGGGCAATGTTAGCGTAGAACATTTCCGCTGCTGTAGAAAGTTCTACTCAACAGCCCAAGGAACCAAGAAACGTTGTTAACCGGAGCAAAAAAAATTCCTATACACTTTTATACTGTAGGGTAAGCAATGGACTGCAAACGATAAGGTCGGTGGTTCAAACCTACCTCATAAAACCTATACAGGGTTGCTATGAGTCAGACCAATATGAAAAACATGTAGCCACTGACTTCAGCTATCCCAGCCTCCAGCTCTCTTTGACTAGAAAAAAATGTTTTCATATCTTTGAATAAAATGATATTTAAAAGTCGTTAAGCATAGTGTTGTGGAAATCATGTCTGTGATAGCATTACGCCTACTTTTTCCTCTTCCAATTGAGACTTTCACATGTTAAAGGCCCAGAGAAACTTGACCAGTTATGTAAACCAACAACCTAGAAAACATGTCCCGAAGAGGTGATGTAACTAGAAACCCTATCTCCTAATTCCCAAAAGTTGGTTGTTGCTTTTTTTTTTTTTTTCTATACTCGAGGTGTTAAAACGGCCAAAGTAGAAACACAATCTGGTCTCACTGCATTTTGTGGCTGCAGAGAGGAGATTACGAAGACCTAAAAAAAGACGCTGTCTTCTTGTCTAATCCCAACTCCCTCCAGTCTGGCCTGTGGATGGGTGCCAGACCGGAAATCCTATTCTTTCCGACGCTGAAGTCCCACTCCTGGCAGTACTACGGTCTTACGGGTAGGAAGGAAAAAGGAGGTAGACAACCATTGATTGGTTAAAGGGATAAAACCTTTTACTAGTCTCATCTTTGAGGAAACAAGCCGCAACCCTCACGGTAACCCTCTCATTCACACAACCCAGACATTTTGTTCAGCTGCCTGAGGCGGGGCGGAGCCTGGTCGCGATCATCCTCCAGGGTCCTTCAACATCCCAAGCGCCGCTTCACAAAATCCCGAACGGCCCTAGCAGTCTTACCAAGTCACTCCCATGGTGTCGGGCCAGGAGAGTGGCAGCTTCTAACAGGTGAAACGCAGCCTTATCCGCGGTGGGAAATGCACTAAAGAAGGCTCCGGTCGAAGAGGGACTCCGGAAGTTACGTTAAAATAGAGCGCCCAGTCGATGCGCCACGAGGTACGGAAACTTGCCTGGGCTTCTAGCTCGGAGACCCCGCCCGGCATTAACGTCATCAACTCAACTCCCTGCCCCGGACTTGCGGCTTCGGAATGCACTTTGCCTGGGTCCATGAAGCTAAGGAAAGCATGAGTCGGACTGCTGCCTCGTAGTGAACCCAGCGTTTAAGGCAGTGAACGCATTCCGGTACCCAGCTCCAGGGCTTATGAGTTCTTTTAGGGGGTGGAGTAACCTGGCGGCGCTTCTGGCTTCTGAACGCTGAGGGGCGTTGTATTCTCGCTGCGTTCGGACCTGGCACTCACTGTCCCATTGCGCTCAGCTTCTCCCCTGTAGTACTCACGTGTGAAGTTTTTTGGCAACTTTTTCGAGAGAAATGCCCAAATTTAAGGCGGCCCGTGGGACCAAAGATCGGGAAAAACATGCGCCCCTGGAGGAACAGATCTTGGCTGCGGACACAGTGCGGGCGGGGGTCCGGAAAAAGCGGAGGGGCGGTGGGACCCGAGAAGAGGAGGAATTTGTGGGCCCTCAACTAACCCGACGGATTTTGCAACAAGCGCGGCAGCAGCAAGAGGAGCTGGAAACAGAGCATGGGACTAGCGACAGGCTCGCGGCTCCAAGGGAGCGCACCACGCGGCTAGGTGAGTGGGGGGAGCGGTGCGAGGAAGGGAGTTCTTTTGGGGGGAACGAACGACCTATGATGACCGGCAAGAGAATATCTTGGAAACAAAAAGTGAATCTCTATTATACTCTTACAAAGGTTCTGGAATAGGAAATCGAGCCCTGGAATGAATTTCGGATGGTCAGAGCCCCGCCACGCCCATTCGTAGTTTTAGACAATACTAGGCTAGGCACCAGCGATGTTAAACCAACCCAAGTTCTTGTAAGTAGTTAGACATTTATTTCGTAAATATGTCTGGGGTGTCTACAGTGTGCTTCTGCACTATGAGAGGAGTTTGGATCCAGAAATGAACAAGAATAAACCCGGTTGGCAGGACCCAAGAGTCTATGAGAGAGAGAGAATTGATTAGGACCAGAAATGAATAACATAGTCTTGGATATCAAAGAGGGCTTTCCAGACTATGTGACCCTTTAGCTGAGACCTGAAAAACTACTGAGAGTTAGCTAGGGCTAAGACATCACACTTGTGCTTTACTACCACCACCTTACCACTCAGAGTCTTCTTTGCTGGCTCTTGGGATGTCCTCGGACTTCTCTGGTGCTGTCATCATGCTTCATGATTTTAATACCATCTATTTGGTGACTACGCCCAACTTTATATCCCAGCCCTGATCTCTTTCAGAAAACTCAAATTCAATGTTATATCAAACTTGGCAACTCCTATTGGAGGTCTAATTGTTGTTGTTAAGTGCCATCGAGTCAGTTCCAACCCATAGCAACCCCTGTATAGGGTTTCCAAGGAGCAGTTGGTGGGTTTGAGCCGTCAACCTTGCAGCTAGCAGTCCAGTGCTAATACTACAGCACCACACCAGATCTAACAGTGAATCTCAAATTTAACATGTCCCAAACCCAAATCCTGGCCTTCCTCCCACTGTTTTCCTCATCTCAGTTTATAGCATGATATCCTTCCCATTGTTCAAGACAGAAACCTTGGCCCCTTCTCTCTCTTTCATTCCACACCCCATCTGTTGAGAAATCATATTGATTCAGAATACATCTAAATTCAGACCATTTCTCACCACCTTGAAACACCACCCTGTTTCAAGTCACCGTGGTCTTCTCAACTGGTTGACTGCAGTATCCTCCAAATTATTAATTTGGTATGTTTGTTCCTTGCCTGTTTCCCCAACTAAAATGTAAGCTTTACAAGGACACAAAATGTGTTGCTCTTGTTCTCTGATCTATTCCCAGCACCCAGAAGAACATTACCTCACAAAGAGCAATTTTTGCTGAATGGGTGGTGAGATTAGGTAGGAATCACATCTACAGAAGACTTGGAGGCCATGCCTGGGAGCCCTGGCAGTGCTTTAGGATAAACACTGCAATGCCAGCAGTTCAAACTCACCAGCCACTTGCTGCTCCTCGGGAGAGAGATGAGGCCTTATCCTGTAAAGATTTATGGCCTTGGAAACCCTATACAGTATCTTTATGAATTGGAATCAACTCTGGCAGTGGATTTTAAAGGCAGTGGGAAGCTATGGGAGAGGGTGTTGCTTACAGGCCTGATTGAAAAATCAGATGTATATTTCTAGAAGGTTACTCTGTCTGCACAGTGTGGCTAGTGAGTTGGAGGGAAGCAAGATTGACAGTATAGCTATCAGTTAGGACTTGAATTTAATCCAGGCAGGAGATGATACTGGTCTAGGCTTACATAACGCTGTAGAGGATTTGAGAGAGAGCCTGTGAGTTAGAATAGAAAACGAAACTAAACCAAACTCACTGCTGTTGAGTAAATTCCAACTCATAATGACCCTATACAGGATTTCAGTGACTGGACATCTTCACAGGAGCAAAAAGCCTCACCTTTCTCCTGCAGAGTAGCTGATGGATTTGAACTGTCAACCTTGCAGTTAGCAGTCCAGTGCTTATTTTATAGCACCACACCAGCCAGCTGTAGCCTTCCAAAAATCAGCTATTCAAATTGGCTTGGTAATTGAAATCTGAACTTCACTGCCTGACCTTCAAGACGATTTTTAACACTGTCGGATAAGTACTGGACGCTAACTGCAAGGTAGATGGTTCAAACCCACCAACCGCTCTTTGGACACCCTATACAGGACTGCTGTGGGTCAAACTGACTCAGAGACACATAACAACGATATATACCATGGGATATAATTATGTTCTATCATGTGTATTCAGTAGTGGTGAGGAACACTACAATCTAGATCAGTCTACTTGCTTTAGGCAGCTTACTTGAGTTTTCTGTGTTTCCGTGTCCCCATCTGAAACTGGGGATAATAATAGTACCTACTCTTTAGGGTTAAGGAGCTCTGGTAGCATAGTGGTTACGAATCGGGCTGCTAATCTCATGGTCAGCAGTTCAAAACTACCAGCTGTTTCGCGGGAGAAAGATGACGCTTTCTGCTCCCGTAAAGAGTTATAGCCTCGGAAACCCTGTAACAGCGTTGCTATGAGTCAGAACCCACTCCACGGCACATAACAACAACAACAACACTTTAGGGTTACAAGGATGAGCTGGTTAACACATATAACATGTATGTAGAACAGTTTAGAACAGTCCTGCTATGTAACAAAGTATTTGTATTAACCATTATTTATTATTACTGCATCATTATTTCATATGTGTACATTTGTTTCTCAAGCAAGATTGCAGGCCTGCACTAGAAATGTATTAAAGTGAAATGAACTCTGAATCCCTCATCCAGCCCTTACCATGCTCATCCACCTTTTCTACCCTCTTCTTGGTCCAGGAGTGCCACACGATGGATCAGATGATGATGAGGAGTGGCCCACCCTGGAGAAGGCTGCCACGATGACTGGGGTGGGCCACCAGGCAGAGGTGGTGGTGGATGCTGAGGATGAGCGTGCAATTGAAATATTCATGAATAAGAACCCTCCTGCAAGGTAGGGCTGGCCTGGCCTGGGATCTGGACTTGTGGCTAATATACGCTGACAGACTTTTTTTGTGGTTTTTTTTTTTTAAAGAAATACATCCAAAATACTCTTTTATTATATTTTTTTGTTGTTGTGTTTTTTTTGTTTGTTTGTTTGTTTAAAGAAGTACAGCCAGAATACTCTTTATTTTTTGTTTGTTTGGATGTACATAAAAACACTCAGAAATATATAATCATTTAAACAACCAAAGGGGACATTTTTCAAATCTGCCTTCTGGCCACCAACACAAAGTGTTTCTCTTTCCATGAGTCTAGAGTCTTCAGCTGCTCTGTCTCTCCATGTCCTCCTCATCTCTGTCTCCATCTCTGGTGTCGCTGCTTCTCTAAATAGGGTCCCACATTCTGCTTGTGATCTTCTACCTTGATGGTCTTAGAGTCCTCTATTCCTGGAATGAAAGATTTAACTACTCCTCCCTTTCTGTTAGAAAACTTCTACCTCTATAGTTGTGACTATCACAATTAAATAAATAGTGAATAATTAAATCAGTTATTCACTATTGAATCATAAGAATTCTATTCACATTTCCTTTCACCAGACCCATTTAGACAAGATGAAAACTATTCGGTGGGGATTCTATCTTCCCCTGCTCACTCTAAAATTAAACTCCCTCTTAAAAAAATAAGCCAGTCACTTGGTGCCTTTATAGTGCCCCATTTTAGGGAGCCAATGTCTGAGTTGCCCGTCCCTGTCCACCCTCTGGCAGACTTTTGATTCCCTACCTCTTTGGAAAGGGGCTGAGCATTGCTAAGTTTTCAGGGACCACCTTAGCAAACCTGAGCTATCCTCTAAGGACTATTCTGAGTGGCAGTGGTTGAACTTGGAATCCATACTCCCCCTCTGTCCACTTATTTTAGAACTATCCCAATTTGCTGGACAAACATCTGCAGGGTTTTTGTTTGTTTGTTTCTGGGGAGATCCGTCCTATTGCATTTGATGCTGGGATACTATTATATTATCTTAGTGGTTAGTTTATTTTCATACCCTGAACATCATTTCATCCAGCAGTTTTCAACCTTGATAGGCATTTTGTTGTGGAAGCTGTCCTGTGCAATGCAGGATTTTCAGCAGTATCCTTGACCTCTACCCAATAGCAACCTTCCCCCAGTTGTGGTAATCAAAAATGTCCCTTGAGGTGGGCAAAATTACCCCTGGTTGAGAATCACTGGTTCATTCCCGTCTCTAACCTGAGGTTCTGGTGGCACAGCAGTAAAGTACTTACTTGACTGCTAACTGAAAGATGAATAGTTTGAACTTACCTGCTACTTTGCAGGTAAAAGCTGTGGCAGTCCAGTTCTGTAAGACTGCAGCCTTGGAAAGCTCACCAGGCACTTCCGCTCTGTCCTACAGGGTCGCTGTGAGTTGAAATCAGCTTGACAGCATTGGGTTTGAGTTTGAGTTTTACAGTAAATGCAGGGAGTGCTGAGGGTGCAACAATTAAGCACACAGCTCCTAACCGAAACTCATTGACTGGCTCCACAGGAAAAAGACCTGACACTCTGCTTTTGTCCAGGTTACAGCCAAGTGAGGGGTTAGTGGTGATGGAAAAGTTACATTAAAGTAGCAGCTGCCAGGGCTGCTTCTGTATAGCCACACATCTAGTGCAATTGGATTCCTTGGTTGGGACGTTTAGGTTCATGGTTTCATAAGACATCCCAGTTAGTTGGCCTAAGGACATGTTCTACTTATATCTTAGGGAAGCAAAACCAGTAAAGATACAGAGAGGTTTATATCAAAGAATTCACTCACAGTTTAGAGACAGGCAGGTTCCAAGTCTGTGGGTCAGATGTCAGACAGCTGGCTTCTGACTGCAGAGGAGAATGAATCCAAGACCACAGGTTGGATTCACAAGACAGATGCAGGATCCATACCCAGCAAAAGGCAAGCCAGCTTTGCCTGAGAGTGTCTTATATATTGAAAGCAGGCCACACCCCTAGGAAGAGTCTTTTCATTTGATTGGCAGCTCACAGCAGACATCACCACAAGGGGTTATTACGTCTTAACTGCTAAGCCACTGAGAATCCTGGCCCAATCAAATTGACACAAAACCCATATTATCACACACCCCTAGTTCATTGCGTAGTACCTGGGGTCTTTAAAGGATGCAAGCACACATCAAAGGCACACTTGCTCTCTGTTCACTTGGAGCAGCAGAGGAAGGAGGAGAGTCAGGACTAGGAGGAGGATATACAACGTGTGGCTGGTTGGCTTTGTGAACAACTGCTTTCTTTGCCGTGAGACCAGAAGAACTGCGTGGTGCCCAGCCACCATTACTGAACATTTTCATCCAAGTTTCCATAGGAGAATCCTGATCAAAAAGTGGAAAATACAGGTCAGAATTTCAAATTCTTACAGATGCTAGACTTTTTTGGAGCCAAAGAGGGTGGATGAAATCACTGAAGGTCTTTTAAGAACTATTGATAGGGAATCAAATTGACAACTTGAAAGATTAGATAACTACCTAAGGGGACAGTAAGTTGAAAGAACAAAAACAGATTACAGCCAAGAACACCCTAATAGGAAGTTTTTCTCTGTCACATGGGGTCACTGAGTTGGGAGTCAACTCAGTGGGCCCCCAACAAGAATGACCTGCAGGCATTTAGGCTGCCTGAGGTCCACCCATGGATGCTAGCCCTGGGATGGGGGGAGTCTAGGATGTGGACCCTCAGCAGAATGACACTGAGCCGCTGAAATGGGTTTCACCAAGACTGTGTAGTTGGTCTTATGTGCTTGCAACAGGAGAGAGTCTCCGAGGTTCTCACTGAGCAGTGTAGAATTTCTACTTCAGAGACAATTCTGACAAGAAGGCTTCCCCACCTTCCTATAAAGACAAGCAGAAAGCAGACTCTGATCCCCATGGACTCGGCAGTCAGAGGCCATTTTGTTTGGGGGCACATTAGAGTGTATGAAGGATCTGACCCTTAGAACCTAAAAGACCCAGAGTTTGAAATTCCCCCTCCACTTGACCTTGGGTGTGTTTGAACCGCTTGAATTTCTGTTCCCCTGTGTATATAAGGGCCATAATCCACCGGCTTGCTGTGATATTATCTGAAAGTCCCCAAATGCCTAGCATTCAATGCTGTTGTTGTTAGATGCTGTCGAATGGGTTCCAACTCATAGCCTGTGTAGGATTTCTGAGGCTGTAAATCTTTACAGGAACAGAAAGCCTCAGCTTTCTCCCTCGGAATGGCTGGAGGGTTTGATCTGTTAACCTGTAATTAGCAGTCCAGTGCCTATCCTACAGCACCACCAGGCCCTCAGAAAACAGGAGCACTTTTAAATATATTTCAGCAGCCTCTGGGACACCATTGTACCAGAGCCCACTGTAATAATTCTGAATTATTACAATAAGATTGATTGTTTAATGTACTCTGTTTAAGAAGGCTAAGAGGAATATGATCTATTTTAGTAGTGTTTCCCAAACAAATTAAAATAGAGAAAAGTTTGTGGCATAGCCTCTCTCTCGTGAGCGTACCTACTTAGAAAATCTTGGTAAAAAAGCTGTGTCTGCCATTCTAGAGGAGTCCCAGCGAGGATTTGTCATGGGAGAGATTGAAAGCATTTGATGAATGTATTTGAAATAGGCAACACTTCTTACATACTTGTAATGTACTAATAGTTCCAAGGTAATGTACATGTATTGACTTGTTTGATCCTTCTGTTAGCTCTGAGAGGCCAGTACCTTTATTACTAGTTGTTATCAAGTTGTTTCTGAATCATGGTGAACCTGTGTGGGTCAGAACTGAGCTACTCCCTGAGGTTCTCCATGGCTGCTTTTTCAGAAATAGAGTGCCAGGACTTTCTTCCAAGATGCCTCTGGGTGAACTCAAGCCCTCAACTTTCTGCTTAGTAGCCTTGTGTGTTAACCATGTGTTAACCACATGGGGGCTCTAGGACTGTTATTATTATCCCTGCTTTATAGATGAGGAATCTAAGATATTGAGAGGGAAAGTAAAATGCTTATAATCACATAAGGAAGAGCCAGGATTTGAATCCCAACTGTCTGACTTCAGAGTCTATATTCTCACCTTCCACAGTACTGCCACCTTTGTCCTGAGATCAATGATTTTTCAGTCCTTTGTGGTCAGTAGTGATTGTGTGGCTGGTGGGTGGACCTATAGGGGCAGGGGCCTCACGTCCCAGTGAGAGAGTGGGGTGTCTAGAGCTTCTAGACTGGCGACAGCATCCTCTTCCCCTTCTCTTCCCTCTGCACCTCCCCAATTCCTAGGCGTACCCTGGCCGATATCATCATGGAGAAGCTGACTGAGAAGCAGACAGAGGTTGAGACGGCCATGTCAGAGGTGTCAGGCCCCCCTATGCCCCAGCTGGACCCAAGGGTCATAGCGGTCTATAAAGGAGTCCGGGAGGTAAGAGCCAAGAGCAGAGCCATGATGGGATATACCCTTGCAGGGGCTGCAGGCTCCCACTCAAGGCTTTGGGTGCCTGCATCTCTCATGCCGAATACAGCGTGGTGGCAGAGAACAGAAGAGAGTCAGAGAGCTCTGGATTCAGATTCCTGTTCTGCCACTTAGTGACTGATTGACCTTGGGCAAGTGACATAACTCTCTAATCTCACTTTCCTCATCTATAAAATGAGGCTCATTATAGCAACTTCTTGGACAGTTGTGAGGACTGAAAAAAATATCTGGAAAGTACTCAGACAAGTATCTGGTACACAACAAACACTCTACGAGTACATTCATGATGGTGATGAATACCTTGCTCACGTAGGTGTTGTCGAAGTACCGCAGTGGGAAACTGCCCAAGGCTTTTAAGGTCATCCCTGCACTTGCCAACTGGGAGCAGATCCTCTATATCACGGAGCCTGAGTCCTGGAGTGCAGCCTCCATGTACCAAGCCACCAGGTAAAGCAGATGGGACCGAGGGTAGAGGTGGATCTATGGGAGAGGGCTGTTTTGTTTTGGGGGCCAGACTCTGGTGGGAGCTCTCCTGGAATGAGAATCTGGTGGAGAGGCTTATCACTTCTTGACTATCCCCTTGGAATGGCAGTGTTCTCAGTAGTCTGGCTTCCTGGACATGCTCAGGTCCCTCCTGGCCAGCAGGAACGGAGGATCCAAGTGGGAAGAGGAGGGCAAGTACCTGACTTGCCATCACTTCGGGGGGAGCTCTGGCTCTCTTGCATAGGTGGACAGTGTCCACTCAATTTTAGAGCATCTCATTCTTCCAACTTCATCTCTCTCATCTGACCTGGAGGTTACATGCACCACACCGCTAGCTGATTTTGTATCTTACTTCAAAGCCCCTTGCTTATACTGTGATACTGAAAGGAGAGGCCCCAGATCATCATGTGACCTGGAACCTCCCTCCACCCACCCCGAAACTAGGATTTTCACCTCTAACCTCAAGGAGCGCATGGCCCAGCGCTTCTTCAACCTTGTCCTGCTTCCCCGAGTGAGAGATGACATTGCCGAATACAAACGACTAAACTTCCACATCTACTCGGCACTCAAGAAGGCCTTTTTCAAGCCTGGAGCCTGGTTTAAAGGTGAGAGCTCAGGGGAGAAGGGGAGGGTCTAAAGTGCCTACCACTGGAAGCAGAAAACTTGGAAATGGTTATCTCTAGGGCCAAGTTCCAGTGACTACCCTGGAGTTGTGGTAGTGTGGGATGGGTTCCTTCCTTACTGAGCTCAGAATGACTGCTCCTCTGTCCCTCCCCAGGGATACTGATCCCACTGTGTGAGTCTGGTACCTGTACCCTTCGGGAAGCCATCATCGTGGGCAGCGTCATCACCAAGTGCTCCATCCCTGTGTTGCATGCCAGGTAGCATTGAGGGGGCAAGGTGGGTGTGGGAGAGGTGCGATCCATAGACATCACCAGGACATGGAGATGAGTAGCAGGAAGAGGACTGGCACTGAGTTTAACCCAGTGGGTGGGGTTATTCCCCACTAGAATAGGAGTTCCATGAAAACTGGTACATAGCAGGTCCTCAGGAAACACAGAAGAATAGGTTAGGGGGAGATGTTTGAACATATTTTAGCTGCATATGGAAACAAGAGGTCTGAGCTAGAGGCGGATAATGAATTTCTTCTTGGCTTCCCTCTTTTTATCAGGTACTCTGTGCTGTCCCTCTCTTAGGAATGCATTCTTACCCAGTAGAAATGGTAACTGAAGTCAGGGGAATATGAGGTAGATTAGCAGGAGGCCTAAGCCAGCATCCTTAAGAATACTACAAAGAAGGGTCATATTCAAAGGGCCTGGAGAGAGAGGAAAATGTGGAACATTTAAAAAAAACAAAACAAAAAAAAACAGGCTTAGTGGTCAGCTAGAGACTGGTGGAGCCCCAAGACTCTGACCCTTGGTCACCCTTCAGGTCTGGACTAGAACTCACCCTCATTGATTCAGTTTTCAACCTAATAATGGGTCTGTGTGGGGAATAGTAATATTAGTGAGGTGCACACACCTTAGAATCCACCAGCCATTTGCGATCCAAACGGCAGCATTTTGTCAGGGACAAAGTTCAGAAGGGAAACAGGAGGAGGAGGAATGGAAACAGGAAACACAGGGGAGAAGTGGGAGAAGTGATGGTGAGGGGATTGTAGTCAATGAAATTAAGTAAAATATGGATGAATTACTGAAAGTAAAACGGACGATCTCTGTAAACCTTCACCCAATTCATAGCAAAAAATGTAAAAAGAAAGAAACAGTCGGGGCCAGAAGGGACGATGGAAAGCACAGTGAAGTAGAGCCCTTCTCACATTTCCCTGTGACTGAGCCCATCTCCCCGCCCTCTCCCCTCAGCGCGGCCATGATGAAAATTGCTGAAATGGAATACAGTGGTGCCAACAGCATCTTTCTGCGATTGCTGCTGGACAAGAAGTACGCACTGCCCTACCGGGTGCTAGATGCCGTGGTCTTCCACTTCCTGGGGTTCCGGACCGAGAAGCGCAAACTGCCTGTGCTCTGGCATCAGTGCCTCCTGACCTTGGTGCAGCGCTACAAAGCAGACCTGTCCACCGAGCAGAAAGAGGCTCTCCTGGGATTGCTCCGACTGCAGTCCCATCCTCAGATAACCCCTGAGATCAGGCGTGAGCTGCAGAGTGCAGTCCCCCGAGATGTGGAAGGTGTCTCCACCTCTAGGAAGTGAGGCAGCAGACACCTGTCTTCAGGGTCACACAAGCACTGTGACTCCTCAGTACTAGACAGGGAGGGCTGGGGGGCTGGCTGACTACCCATTCCATTCTAGACCCTGGTCCCTTCTCCATTCTGAAACCTGACTTGATTCCATGATCTGCTTCTCCCCACCCCTAGCAGGAGCCTCTGTGTCTAATATCTTGTGAATAAAAGCAAAACCAAGCATTTATTGAACCTCTGTTCTTTGGTGTCATTAATGGATTTCTTCCTGGTTTCACTCCTTAGTAGGTACTTTTCCCTGTCCCTCACTTAGGAATGTACCCTCACCCAGTGTACACAACCACCACCCACTGCCATCAAGTGATTCCCACACACAGTGATCCTATAGGATAGAGTAGAAATCTCACCATCCTGGCTTCTAAGGATGATTCTGGGCTGGCTATATTTTCAAAACAAGATTTGTTTGTTGCTCTGGCAGTTAATGGTACTTTCAATATTCTCCGACAACATAACTCAAAATGCATAATTCTATGGTCTTCCTCATTCATTGTCCAACTTTCACATGCCTATGATGCCACTGAAAATACCATGGTTTGGGTCAGGCATACCTAAGACCTCAAATTAACATCTTTGCTCTTTAACACTTTAAAGAAGTTTTGTGCATAAAACTCTAAAGTTTGTTTCTCCCAGGTAACGCGTACTCTGTTAGCCCCAGAGGGTGTATTCTCTGCCTTCCCCTAACAGGTTTCATTGAAATAGCAGTAACCAGAAGATTTTTCAAAAGATGATCAGGTCACAGGGTTAAATGAGAAATCTCTTTTCCAGGAGAATAGAGATACAGGGACAAGAAAGGCCAAAAATGAAAAGTCTAGCTCCTGAATGATTAGACATAATCTAACCCCATCAAGGGTTCTGGGTGATTAAAGTTGTTGATCAAGAGCTGGTCACACTTGGATCCAATGCCTGTTTTCATATAGCACATAAACTAAGAATTTTCCTTTTTATAGGGTTAGGGAAAACAGCATATTTTGTTACAAATGAAATTCCAATTCCAATGTCATTTTATTGTCAAGGGAACACAAGGCCTCTATGCATTGGTCTATGGCTACTTTTATGAGGGATTGGCAGGGTAGAATACAATTGTGCTATGGCCCTTACTTGGTACTAAAGGTATCTGGCCTAACCCAATATTTGGGAACAATGTGATCATAAATACATTTCACCTTTATGTGCTATTTCATCCTTAAGAAACACTAGATGAGGAAAAAAACCAACTAGGTGGATGGATAAAACCACCCAGATGAAGAAAACTGACTTAAGAGTCCACAAAACACTTCCAATGAGCCAGCCACCTCAGTCCCCTTGTGAGCCACACCCATCTACATCAGCTGCTGTCCTTATTTAATTCTACTTCACAGTAGCTCACAAGCTTCAGATCATTTTCAAGATGTTGTTACTGTTAAGTGCTGTCGAGTCAGTTCTGACTCATAGTGACCCTATATAGGGTTTCCAAGTAGCAGCTGGTGAGTTTGAACTGCCAACCTTGTGGTTCAAACCGACCTTGCGGTCCAGTGCTTTATTCCACAGCAGGACTCCCTTTTCAAGCTAGAAGGCTATATTTATTGCAGTATGTGTGCTTCTTAACCAGCTAATATAAAACTATGGTATCCTCTATTTGTCTCATTTAAAAAATTGTTGTTTAAAAATCACAGAAGTTTTTGAATACTGTTCACCAGTCCCATTGTTCTTGGGTGATTTTTGCCGAGTGCTGATGTTTAGCAACATTCATGTTACATTATAGCAGAATGGGCTTTAGGTGAGACAGACCATATGGCCTGCGAAACTGAAAATATTTACAATTTGGCTCTTTGTAGAAAATGCTTGCCAACGTCTGCTTTAGGACTACTGACTACAGCTCGCCTTACATTTGATATATCCTAGAAATAGGCTTTTACCCACAAAACCAGCCAATCCAAGAAGCCATGTCCACTTTATTCAGAATCAATATTTATTGAAATAATCATGATAGTCCTGGGCTACCAGCCTACACCTTGTGGCCATAAGAAAGACCTGTGTAAATAGGGCTTGCCTCCTCTCCAGGCAGGGGGCTCATCCTCCATGCAGAGGGCCAAAGGGAGAGGAGGGCATGGCCCCACCCCAGGCTTTAGCAGCTCCTTGGCCACAAAGATTCTCTAGCCAGCAGCAGAGGGGAGGGATACAGCAACCACCAGGCCACTACCACTTGTGGGGTAGACGGGCCCCACCGCACCCTCCTCACAGTTGTACTTAAAACAATTAATAAATTAAAACAACTTTTCCTTTCAGCACTGACCCCTCTCAATCACAGGAGAAGCTGAATGGAAAAGCAGAGCCAGGAGGAGTTCGTTGGTTCTTGCCCTTCTGCCCAAGGCCTAGACCTTTCTCCAGGAGCAGCTGTGAGCATGGATTATGCAGATGCTTCCAAAGTGGTGAGAGGAGCTATCCAGACTTTTTCCTCTCACATGTGTCTATCAGAAATGTCTGAAATTTCATCTTCAGAAGGACCCCAATCCAAATTCAATAACCCTAGGAGAGGCAACACCCTTAGAAGGCACTGGGGCATTGTGGAAAACAAGAACTTGAAGTCCAGAGAAGGGACTTCAAAAGGAATGCTGGTGCTTATGCATTTTACCTGCTTCGATTTGGTCTCTGATCAGCCCCGACCACCCCCAGCTAGAGTCAGGAAGGAGCTATTCAGATTCAGGAAAGGAGGAGGAGCTTGACCAACCACCCAATCACGACTGGCTGGTCCAGCCCCTTAGTGCACAGTGCAGGGATAGGTAGGACCTGGCCCCTTTAGGCTTTAAGAGGGGTGAATACAGGAGCCCCCTCAGCTGTGATTCTTGAGGGGGAGGGAGAGGGACAGGGGCAGTGTCCCCTCTTTAGCTCCTGGTGGCCACTTGAGGGGCTCTCCCCGAGGCTACAGGTCAATGGCTGTAACATCTGTAGGTGTGCTGGTCTGGTTGGTCTCCTGGCTGCCCGTGTTCCGAGGAGCTTTGGGCACTGGGCTGGAGTTAGGCTGGGCATCCCTGAGGCTCTCCCTGAGTGCAGCTTCAATCTGCTCCTGACAGGCCCGCAGGCAATCCTGGGAAGAGGGGGGAACAGTGAAGATGATCCATTCCTCACCCCTAACCCCAGATGTGGCAGCAGGTGTAGGGGAAGAACACCTCCCAGCACACAGGGAACTCTGGGGAAGTTAGGCTACAGCCCAGCCCCAGGAATCAACCTTCAGTTCTCAGAAACTGGCAAGAGGATGTGGCAAAAGGGTGTGAGAGCAGCCCTGCATCAGATACCAAACCCCCACCCCCACTCCAGTACACCACTTGGCAAGAAAAGGGCCACCATGGGCCAGTGCCCTTTACTCCACCCAAAACACTTGGTCTTCTCCAGACCAAGGCAGGAGATAAAAAGCCCCTACCAAAGTGGGGGCAGGAGAGTAAACAGGACAAGGTTGGGTATGAATGACTCCCTCTATTAAAGGCTCAGAACACAGTCAGCTTCTCAGCACTCACCACTTCAGTGCCTACGATCCCTGCCAGCAGCTCGGTGAGCTCATCTGCGGACATGGAACTGGCACCCAAGCCTTGGACTGCAGCCCCAACACTGCCCGTTGCAATCATAGATGGTGGGTACATGGCAAAACTGAAATCTTGGAAAGAGGGAGACAGAACCATGAGACCAGAAGGATTACAAGTGTGACAGCAAGCGTGGTCTTCAAGTCCTAACAAACAGCATGAGTAGAGTAGAGGCATACTGGGAAACCCAAACAGTGAGTGGTAGAGGACATCAGTGAAGGAAGAAGCAGAAAGGGACCCCTCTTCTGCAGTGAACTGAGGCAAACAACAAACTTCCCAAGGCTCAGGGACGGATGATACCCACTTGGTATGAAAACACAACTAAGGTCAAGAATCTTGGGTTCTGATCCAACTTACCCTGAGACTTTAGGCAAGTCACTTTCCTCTCTAAGCCCTCTGTTTCCCCATCTACCTACTGGGAGTCTTTAAAGTTCCATACAGTTCTGATGATGTTCTGTTGCTTTTCTGTACTGAGTCTGGGGATTCTGAGTGAATGTAGTTTCACAAATAAATTTTGAGGAGTATAAACTGGAATCTCCTAGCTAGCCCCCATTTGGCAAAAAAGATATGCAGGGCTCTTACCTGTGGCACAGAGGGCCAGAAAGGTCTGGGCATGCTTTCTGACCAAGGCCTGCCGGTCACTAGGCAATGGGAGCCGGTGCAGAATCAAAGCCAAGAAGTCATAGGGAATGACAGCAGCCAGGTCCCACTTGAGCCTCCCCAGGACCAGCAACTCCCAGTCCTGAAGGATGGAGAAGAGGATGATATCATTAGTGGCTGACGAAGGGAAGAGGAAGGAGTAAAAGGGGAGCGCCTCAAAGGGAAAGAAGCCCATTAAACCTTTGACGCTCCAGACCCCAGTTCTGCTTCTAGGCTTACGGACTGGTACTCCAGAGTGCAATCCACAGAGGGGAAGAGCTGGAGGGATTTGCTTTTCCCATCGATTGAATATTTCCTGCTGTTGTTGTTCACTGCTGTAGAGTCAGTTCTGACTCACAGTGACCCTGTATAGGATTTCTGAGGTGCAGTTGGTGGCTTTGAACTGCCGACCTTGTGGTTCACAGTCCACTGCTCATCCTATAGCGCCACACCTCTGTACTAAATACATTATGTGGCTTCTCTATCTGGATCCTGGTTTGGTTATCTTGTTGAGTTGGAATCCTTGTTTGGTTATCTGTTGCATTGATTCCGACTCATGCTTATCTTGCTGCTGTTGTTAAGTGCTATCCAGTGGGTTCTAACTCATAGCGACCCTTATTATAAGGTTTCCAAGGACTGGCTGGTGAGTTTGAACCACCGACCTTGTGGCTCAAACTGACCTTGCAGTCCAGTGAATTATCTTGCAGCTCTATATTAGGACTCCATGCTTATCTTAGGGGCCTAAAAACCAAACCCACTGCCATCAAGTCCATTTTGATTCACAGAGACCCTAGATAGGGTTTCCAAATCTATAGCTTTATGGGAGCAGACAGTCTTATATTTCTCCTGGCTGGTGGGTTTGACCCACTGACCTTGTGGTTAGCAGCAGTTCAATGTTTATCCCACAGCACCAGGAGCAACCCTACTAGGGAACAATAATATAGGCTTTCTGATTTCACTGAGGATGCCAAGTTGAAAAAAACTTTAAAGACTATATAGACAGATTACTGCCAACATCACTATGAATTTGATGTTCCTTTAGGATAAAGCGCTGTCTATAAACCCAAAGATTCTAGCAAGGGGAGCTCACCACTAGCCTCTTCCCCAACTCTGCATCCTAACCAAGTCCACATCTCTTGAAAAAACTAGAATGAACATGAGGCCACCTCTCCTGTGACACAAACATTGAGCCTCCCCTGAGGTTCCTCAAAGGGGAGGTTGCCCAACTCAACCCACATCCCCTTGGTGGGACATTAGGGGTGGGTCCTAAGGTACGGTACTCACCCCCTTGAACTGGAACCTAAAGAATGCCCAGTGCAGCTTGAGTCTTCAGGAAGCAAGGTACATAGGATGGATCCAGATGACCCCCAAAGGTCATCCCATCCCCCCAAGCCAATAAAACATGGCTGGGTCTTAGAGAGAGGCTAAGAGCCCCACCCAATCCACTCGTCTGGTGTTCCCAGCCCTGACCCCATTTCCGAGTTACACACATGAGGATTTCTTCATTGTTTTATCTCAGGAAGGAACTCGTGGGTTTGACCCCTTATTAAGGCAGAAATGGCAACCCCACCCAACCTCTTTCAAGGGCCCAGTCACAGCTGTCCCCCCTCCAAGTCCCAGATTAAGTGGCATCCTCCCAAGTGAGCCCTAAGTCCCTCACAGGGCCCCACAAAAATTACCTGGCCTGGAGCCAGAGTAGGGCAGAAAAACTAGGATTCTACTGCTGGCATTTATTCCAGTGGCAAACCCCTAAAACTCATGAGTAAACAAAAATTACCTGGCCTCCCAGGAAGCAACTGGAGTGGGCTTTCCCTGCTGGGGAGCCCGTGGAATCGTGTGAAGGAAGGCAGCCACCACCCTACCTGGCAACAGACAACCCGGAGGATCTCAGCCCTACCTTGGTAGAGTATAACCATGGGAGGGATTACCTGCTTCTATCCCATCCCTTCTGGTGGGGCGCTGTGGATCAGAACTGGACTGCAAACCACAAGGTTAGCTCGGAAACCCTGTACAGGGTTGCTGAGTCGGAATCAACTCAATGGCACTTAACAATAACAACATCATCACATCCCTGGCCTTTAAGGCAACATGGTGTACAGATGGAAGACCCAGAGCGCACATTTATCTACTTCAGTCTAATGTTCTCCTTCTCTGGGCCTCCACAAGGATTTGGACTGACTGGAGTTCTTTGAGATCCCTTCCAACTCTGACCTCGCAGAAAGTCATCTACACACTTGACCCCCAGTTCAAGCAGAGGGAGTGAGAGAAAAGTACTTTTGGCTGCTCTGAAAAAAAAAAAGTCCCCTCACAGACAGACAGAAAGACACACACATACGCATTATCCCGGTCTTTCCATAAAAAGGAAGTCCCCTTCTACCTTCCAGCCCAAACCCCTCCAAACACATCTTGCTCTCTGGCCTGGAAACCAATTCCACCTTCAGACTTGCCAAAAACTACCAGATTCATCACAAAGAGCTGTGGGGCCTCCCAGATTCCCAACTCCGGCCTCCTACTCCCATCTCTGAGAGCTACTTGGCAGGAAGAGGAATCCTGTTCCTCGATTCACAGCAGTCGGGGGCCCCAGTACCCTGGCCTCCCCGCCAGCCAATCACAGCAGACTGCATGCTGCCCTCCTCCCAGGGAGATGGGGCCCAGAGACTGCTCTCAGGGTCAGTAGAAGACTTGGCCAGCTTGCCCCATAGAGCAAGGTGGAAGAAGGTGCCAGCTCACCCACCCTCTACCCCAGGCTCCCCGGGGGATGCTCTATATGCCCTAAATAATCTCTTCCAAGACCCAGCTACTATCCCATCTCCTCCCCAGGCCAGTGGGGAAAGAGAACCCAGTGACTTTCCTGCCATGTCTCAGAATGAACCAGGCCCAAGTTCCCAGCAAGAGGCCCAGGGAGCCACTTCCCAAACCACAGGGGTGACAGCAGCTCCCCACAGGGTTATGAAAGACCTTGGTCAGACAGGGCGGGCCAGGGGAGGGGGGCATCATTATCACATCGGAAGCAGCTGCAGCTGCAGCTCAGCTCCCTGTCTGTCCCTCAGCCTTTGGCTAAGGGGAAAAGGGAGAGATGTTTCCATCAGACCCAAAGCAGCTGCTCAAGTTCCTCAGAATGAAGACAGGGACTGGAGGGTTGAGAAGGAGCTCTTTCCTGGGATATAAGGAAAATGAAAGGAGGTGCGATGATACACCTCAGTCCTTCCTTAGAGCAATCAGGGCCTGGCTTCAATCAGCTCTGGAAGGCTTTTCTATCGCAAAGTCCACCCTGGGATAAAGAAACCAAGGCAGCCCCCTCCCCCACACAAAGCACATTCCACTCCACCACGCCAGTGGGGGTGTGCAGGCATGCCCTTCTGCTGCCAATAAATAACTCGTGGTGGCTTTGTAAACCCAGAGGCAAAGTACTAGTGAGTGTAGACATGCAGTTTGACTTGTTGCTATCTGGGGGAAAGACCGGGAAGGAGTGGCGCCCCCTGGAGGTCAGGAGGAAGGGGTTTCATTCATGCTGGCAGCCTCAAGCCTAGGCCAGGACTACCCTGCCCACCACACTGCCCTATTTTTCTGCCCCACCCTTGTGCCTTTAAAAATCCCGCCTCTGAAGGCTTTCCTTTTCCTGGGAATAGGGTGGCAATATATACTTGGGGGACAGGAGAACTACGCACCAGTATTTGGCCGTGAGAAACAGCGTGGTCGGAGTAGATGCAGAGCTTTTCGATGGTCAGGGGGGTGGTGTCACGAAACTTGGAGGCCAGTAGCATGCAGACCGAACCCAGGAGCTGCAACTGCGACTTCCGAGTAGGGACCCAGGACAGGAATCGATCCAGATAGTTCATGGCCAGGAGGAAGACTTCCTCCTCACAATGCTGCTCTTCACACACCTGGGGGAGGATGAAGAGTCACTGCAGGAACTGAGGCTTGGAAAAAGCAACAGCACTAAGGAGGGCGCTGAATGGACGGACGTGGAGGAAAGGGGATCCGGCTACATACAGTGACTACAAGGACCAATATGGAGAAGGATGCAACCTCCCCAAGGTGGCACCCCCACTTCCTCTGTGTTGTCTCCTCCCTGCTCCCTGGGGGGTCGGGGGGTAATAGAACAGAAAGGTGCTGCCTACAGTCAGGACCCTTTCAAAAGATTCTAAACTGAGACTCCCATCCCCCACAGCGGGGGCGGGGGGGGGGGGCGGCGGACAGAAGCGGCACTCCTGGTAGCCCAAGAGCTGGGACCTTCCCCTCATTACCACCACCCACTGCACACACCCAAGGGGAAGGGAGGAGACTCCTACCACTGCCTCCCGCACTTTTCGTTTCCCTGTCCGCCGGAACAGCGTGAGCGCCACCCCCACCGCCTTCCCCGCCAGAACCCCACGACAAGACACAAGAACCGGCTCTGGGGCGGAGACTGCCAAGCCCAGGGTTTTCCAGGCTCCCTTTGCTTAGAATACCAGGCGGGGGAGGGAAGCAGGAGGCTCAGAGGGGTAGAGAGTGGCCCTTGTCCCGCTTTCCCGGGCTGAAGAGACAGGGTTAGGGTGCCAAATAACTGGAAGTAGAGTCGGGAGGCGTCGATCTGAGTTGGGGAAGGAAAAGAGACACCATGGGGGTAGATAGTTAATTTGCCCGAATGAAAGACCAGGCCCCAGAAGTCTGGGCCACCGGAGCATCTTGTCGATTGTTGCTGGAACCAGGATGTCGAAACAGGGCGCCCCCAGGATATCCAGATTCAAGGGTGCGGGAGCGATGGGGCTAAAGGGAACCCATCTGAGCGGTACCTCCAACATCCAGTAAGCCAGCATCTTCCGCATGTGCGGCTTGATCTCATTCTGCACGCACTGAAAGTAGGAGACGCAGGGCAAGTAGCGCTCCTCCATGCGGAGCAGGGTCTGCAGGACACGCTGGTCCTCCAGCAGCTGCGGGTCTGACCCAGCCCGGGGTGAACGCCGGATATTCTCGCAACACAGCAGCTCCATACTCAGGCAGTTCACAAGCAGGACAAGAGTGAGGACTCGAGAGCCAGAAGTCAGGCAGTGTGAACCAGAGAGCGTGCGACGCGGGTCTGGCTCTGGTGCTGGCACGGCGCGGTGAAGAACCCTCGGTTGCAGCCGGCCCGCCCTCGCGCGCGCCGCTTCCCTGACAGGCGTCCCGCCCCTCGCGACGATGTAGCAACCGTGGAATGCTAGGACGTCTTAACGTCCCGAAGGGGCGGGGCGCAGACGGCGCCCCACACGGAAAGCGCCAGCGGGGGCGCTCCCTCCTCTACTCCGGCTGCCGCATTGGTCCGTGGGGCGCCAGCCCGCCGGCTTCCGGGCGCTCCAGGCCCTCCTGACCACCCGGTGGAGCGAACTTTTTGGAAGGTGGGCCTCTTTCCCCACCAATGAGCCCTCACATTTCCCTTCTCTCATTCTAGTCGCCAAGGAAAGAATTTCTCTCTAAAGGTTGTTCATTCATTCATCTATTAATGTGTCAAACCCTATCTTTTAGCTATGTGCGCTAGAGAAAATAATAATAATAATAACTAGTTCTTAGTGAGGGTTCTTAGGAGCCCTCCTATGTAGTGTGTTTTGAGTTAGGCTGCTAACCACAAAGTCAGCTGTTCATATCTACCTGCCGCTCCGGGGAGAAAGATGAGACATTCTGCTCTTGTAAAGATTTACAGCCTCATGAAACCCCTGTGAGTCAGAATGACTTAACATCCACCAACAACCAGTGACCATAATTTTAAGCACTTAAAAATGAAATAAGTTCTTAAATCCTCCCAAACTTTGCAACAGATGAGGAAACTGAGGCACAAAAAGGTTAAAAAAAAAAAAAAAAAAGCCCATGGCAGAGCTGGGGTTGGAAATCTCCCAAATCTATGTTACTCACTCTGGATCCCCAGACCAACAAAAGCAGCATCCCGTGAGCTGGTTAGCCCTTAGGCCCCCACTTCTGACCAGCTGAATCAATCTGCATTAAAGTTTGAAAAATGCTGGTGTAAATCAGCATATTACAGAAAACAGATGGAAAGACGTAGATTCAAGGTCTCACCTTGTCATTAAGTTGACTATGTGGCCTTGGACAAGCCCTTAAGGTCAGCCTTAGTTAGTTTTTGTTTTGGGAAAACATGGGCAGAGGAAATAGATCCACTCTGGAGGATTTTCTTGCTCAGACTCTACTATAACTAGTTGCCATTTCCTCTCCAATTCCCAAATTTTGGGTTACTTTGTTGTTTCCCCCAAAATTCGACACAACCAAAGACTGACCAAAGGCCATCAAAGATGTTCCAAATGGAGCAGGGATCGCTACCTCTCCTGGGGTCTTGTGAATTGGAGATATTAAGGAAGTGAGTTCATTACTAAAAGGCAACTTCTATGCTGACGGAGGGCGCTGTAATAAAATTATATATATATATATACATACATATGTATATGGAGTCCTGGTGTGGCGCTGTGGGTTAATGTGCCAGACTGCAAAGCCATTTGAACTGCAAGGTCGGCAGTTCAAGCTCACTAGCTTCTCCTAGGAAACCCTATGCAGGGACGCTATGGGTCGGAACCGACTCGACGGCACTTAACAACAACAACATACATGTATATATAGAGAAGAGCACTAGTGGAACTGTAGAATAAACACTAGATTGTTAACCAGCCATAAGGTTGGCAGTTCAAACTCACCAGCCACTCAGAAAAAGAAAGGTGAGGCTTTCTGTTCCCATAAAGACTGCAGCCTCGGAAATCCTATACGGGGTGGCTATGAGTTAGAATCGACTTAATGGCAATGAAAACGTGATACGGAGAGCGAGCCCTGGTGTCTAGGTATACATACGAGGGGGCTTCAAACAATTCATGAGAAAATTCCATGACCTTTAAACTCCATTTTGAAACCTCCTGTATAGAATACATTTTATTATGTTGCTCAAAATATGGAAATACAAATTTGCAGTGGAAAAAAAAAAAACTCTAATCATTGTTCTCCCAATTAACATGCATATTTACAGACATGGAATCATCACACGCTTTTATTGGCTGTTTTTTTTTTTTTTTTTCATTAAAAAATAAACTCAACATTTCTTCATGTCATTACATTTTGTATAACATTGTCTTTTTTTAAGGCTACATAGAATTACAGTGGGTGAATCTATCCTAGTATATTTAAGGAAAGCTGTATTGTTGAGATCTAAGTTGTTTCTAATTCTTCCCTACTAGAAACAGAACATTTCTGTAATACTATCTTTGTTATCATTCTTGATTATTTCTAGACATTAATTTCTACAAGTGGAATTTCTCAATTAAAGTCATAAAACATTTTAAGGCTTTTGATACAGTTCACAGTTCTTATTACCAAATAAGAAAGGCGGAATCTGTCTTTTCCATTATGTATCTTTAAAAAAAAAATACTTGCCAACTAGAGAGGTGAAAACTATTTTATTATTAATATATAGCATATTATTAGACATTTACAGTTCTTAAAAATTACCTATTCATGTCCCTTGCCCATTCCCTTATAGAGTTTCGTTGTTGTTTTTTAATAAGTGCTCCCTACATTTATTTAGAGGCTATTAAGCCTGTGTCACAGAGTTTGGCTTTTGTTTTTTGACTTTTATTTTTGGCTGGTGGTGAATTTCTCTTGAACAAATTTTTATTTATATGTAAATTTATTTATGGCTCTTTAATGATTCCTGCCTTTGAACTATGCCTGTCTTACACTAAAACTACATAAATACTAGAACGAAATGTAGGGTAGGGGTTTTGTTTGTTTTTAAATCACCTCAGAGGCTTCTTGAGAATTGAGATCCCTGGATTCTCAGGGTTTCTCAGTATACTTGTCTCAGATAAGGCCCCCAAACCTACATTTTCAAGAGTACATGCAATAGAGATTTGCTTCTTTGTTTTACTACATTTATTCAGTGGGACTCTACCTTTATTTTCCATAAATGATTAGCTAATGTATCCCATGACACTGATTTAACTACCTGTTCTTTGTTTCATTTACTTCCATGGTATAAACAGCATCTCTGGACTCAGTTCTTATATTTGAAATGAGGTCTTATTTTGGCCCTTTGTGCACAAGAACTTTCACTGAAAACTGGTCCTCAGAATTCTTGCTGCTTTTGCCCAAAGAACTTCAACTGGTTTTTATTCCAATGTCACATATAAAATTATGCTTAAGGAAGACATCAAAAGCTTACTCAGTCTGAAATAGCCACTGCCTTCAACTTCTAGCAAGTATTGACCTTCAACTACAGCAAGAGGGATAAAAGTTTGATAGCAATGAAAACTCCAATTAGACAATGACATAGGAAAGAGCCACCACCACCCACCTGTCAGTTTGTTGTATTGTGGTGGCTTGTGTGTTGCTATGATTCTGGAAGCCATGACACCAATATTTCAATACCAATAGGGTCACCCTTAGTGAACAGGTTTCAGTGGCACTTACAGACTACCACAGAAAAGAAAGGGTAGGTGATCTGCTTTAGAAAATTAGCCAATGAAAACAGTATGGATCACAGAATATTATCTAAGACTTTGGTTCACTTACTTTGAAAATATCCTCAAGAGGGGCCAATTGCTGAAGAAGGACATCACATATGGTAAAGTGGAGGAGCATCAGTGAAGGTGAGGGAAACCCTGAATTGATCTGGCTCTACATTGGACTTAAGCATACTAATGACCAAGAAGATCCTTCTGAGTTAGAGCCAACTGGATACCAACTAACAAGAACAACATGGAAAAGAGGAAACAGTAACAGAATCCTATTTTCTGTAGACCTTTAGAAATAGGGCAGGACCTCTCATTGACCTACCCTTCTCAATTTTCCCCTCTGCCATAGGTTACCTTATTTCAACTTGAATTGTTTTGTTTTTGATTGTTAACTTACTGTGAAGGCTTACAGCACAGATCAATCTTACACACTTTGTTTCATTTCATTAATTACAATCCCCTCAATGTAACATCACTTAGCCCATTTCCTCCCTGTGTTTCTTGTTTCCATTTCTCCTCCTTTCCCAACACTTTTAAATTTTGTCCTTAGGTAAATATTGTGCTTTGGATCTCGAGTGGCTGAACATTCTGTGGCATGTATAACCTTAATAGTGTTGTAGTCCTCCCAGTATTCCTATAGCTTGGCTGAAAATTGAACCACAGGGTTGAGTTCCGGTCCAAATCTGAAGAGTGACCATAGTCTCGGGGTTCCTTCCTCTCATATCATTCCATGAGTGAGTAAAATTGATTAATTTTTGCCTTATTAGCTGAAGGAGGGGCATAGAGAGGCTGTCTAGTTCTAGAAGCTAGGGTAAGTCCCAGCCTATGGAGAAAGGAACTTTTGGTGTGAAGAAGTTTTTGAAGGATGCCTCTGTCCTGTCCCTGGCTGGGACTGCTACGCCCAAAGGTAGGTTCTCATCCTGGACCCCCAGGTCCAAGGAAATAGCCAGTCACTAGCTGATGATATATTAAGGAGGTAGGGGAGCTCAACCTGGGGTTAGGGTATGTTGTTGTTGTTGTTAAGTGCCATCGAGTCGGGTCCGACCCATAGCGACCCTGTACAGGGTTTCCGAGGGTGTAAATCTTTACGGGAGTAGAAAGCCTCATCTTTCTCCCGCGGAGCGGCTGGTAGTTTCGAACCGCTGACCTTAAGGTTCGCAGCCCGATTCGTAACCACTATGCTACCAGAGCTCCTTCAGGGTTAGGGTATAGGAGTTCCTAAAATGTTGTCTGATCTGCCTGGGATCTTCACCATCTCAAAGGAACCACCTCAAAGGAACACGGTTCTCACCTGTTCTTTCCTAAAAGAATAAAAAGACTAAGCACTGACCAGGGACAACATGGTGTGGAGTTCAATTAGAAACTAGAGTTTCAGTATATTCAATTAGAAGAAGTAGCTCAGTGAAATGGCAAGTCAGAGGAGGGCTAGGAATGGATTATCACAGGCCAGATGAGATGCTCCTAAGGAGGTAGATAAATGCTTTCTTTCTTCCTTCTCTTCCTTCTCCTCTTCATTACTGAAATGTCCCCATCTGGGAACCAGAGGGTTAACAAGGTGAGG